TCTATGATCAACATGCAGAGTACACAGTCTAACTGTGCATCCGTACCTTTTCGGGGATTCGAGTCTGATAAGAAGTGACAATAAGAACGCCACTATTGTCGGTGCGCTACCAGGTCCACCAATGTCTCCAACCAACCAGTTTAGGATTCTTTTGAACCCCAACCTGGAAAACAGGATACACTTACTACTCTACCCGATCGCTCTGTAGTCTTGACTTCACCAACACCCAACAGTTAGAAGAGTGAACTATCTTATTTTCAAGCATGCATTAGACAATATGATATCAGGTATTAAACTGTTGGTTTTTATATACATGAACATCCATCACAAATGAGAATTGGGCCGTTTTGTCTTAGGTGTGGGTTTCACTCATGGTGCCTGGTGCGTAGACCTACCGAGGCATATATGCAATAACAATGCAAACGTTCAAAGCAATGTACCTTGCGAACCACACACAACGTAGCCAAAATTCGGTTCTGGTTGCAAAATAAAAGGAAACGTCCGACAACCACAGTCACAACTCACCTGTCTCTCGATTCCGTTCTATGCAATAGCATGAATCGTAGAATGCAGTGAACGTGCAACTGAGATCATACAGATAGTCACACAGAATATGTAACAAGAAATCATCCTGAATTCGCAATAGGATATCTGGGAGACGGCATAACATTTTGGCCAAATTCCATTCAGCCGGATGATCCAAAACGATCGGTTCGTTTTTCACCAATTCGGCCAAACGTTCACTTGAATAACCAGCATTGCGGGCAATGGATCTAAAACGCGTAAATGGTCAATCAAATTAGGCAATAAAAGCAAAGGATACGATTCTTGCGATTTGATCATGTTAAAGTCATATTGTAAAATTTGATCGAAATTCATGTTTGATGTTTGTTGTTTGGGTTCAGCGGACCACGCCTCTACCGGCACCTATGAGAGAAGGAATCTCAACAGAAACGGGATGTTTCATATCGCCTAGCAGTCGGCCCTGATCCAGTTGTGAAAAATTACTTTTCTGTATCAGACAGGAAGCTCATGAGCATCCCTGTTCTAATCGGGACGCAAAAGGTCACCGTCCAACTTATTCGCAACCTATTCGCAAGAAGACTGGAGTGACATTTGCCAAATTAACCTTTGACTCTTGGCTCGAGAGAGCGAATCGTTAGATAGTGTTACACAAATCTCTTTCATGTACGATGATAAATACTGAGAGCGACCAAGACAGCTTGTCATTACCATACATTTTCAATCGTTTGTTCAGTTCG